TGATTCTAGTAAAACCCTGTTAGTCCAAATGTGTTCACATACACGCCGAAAATATGTGGAATGCACAGAGGATGGTATCAGGAACCTTCTCAAAAGAAGTTCGTTTGGGATCGTTATGAAAGTTGCCACGACGATGGCGCATACGTTTAAGTGTCTTCAGATTAAAGATGGAAGCTCCCATCATTCGTAGTAGCCAACAACTATTTGCAAGACAGATTAGGTAGCACTCATCCATTTACACTACGCAAGCCTACAGGCTGCAAATAGAGAGCTGCCACCTGCAACAAATTAACGCGGCAGGCAAAAACTGCCCCAACACATGCACTCATTGCACTGGCGAGCAGCCACTGGCAGTGGCAGTGGCATGCGTTACATGTAACATGACTGACACTACAGAATGCCATATAAATTATACGATTTAAGGAGCATAAACTTCTTTTTAACCAAAATTTAGCTTTGAAATTTCACTGTGACATTGTAGCCTCATACATCCAGGCCATGTATAGATTCTACTAGCACAACCGGCAGTCAAATTCTTTCTAACAGACAGTCAACAAATCCATGTTTACCCTCCTCTTTGAGGTAGTGGGGAGGGGGAGGTAGGGGGACTAGCTGGAAGCCCGGTCATGAATCCCCGAATCCTTGCGCATTGTGGTGCAGGACCAGTCGATCTTGGGTATTCCTTTGCCAAACAACGAACTATAAAGGTACTACAGCTATACGATGCACGAGAGTCGAGAGAAACACTGAGTGAAGACAGCTGTAACGATGAAGAAGAAGAAGAAAAAGAAGGAGGGAGAAGAGGAAGAAGAGCAGAGAAGAAAAGAAGAGATGAAGAGAAGAGAAGAGAAGAAGAGAAGAAGATTGTGACATTCGTTATGCAGAGTTTCGCCATACGCGCAAAATGTATGAAAATGCATAGGGACAGTGATATGCAGCTGCAAATAGCGCATATAAGCCAGAACATTCGCAATTGTACGACCTGGCTACGGAAGAAGCAGGGACGACGCAGAAACACGCGCGATTCAGCTACACGCAAGAATCGACAGGAAGCAGCTGATGCCGGACAGCGACAATATAGTGAGATATCTGCTGAAAAGACAACAAACGATCAAGGAGATAGTTCGAGGCGGGTGAGTGAAACAAGTTCTTGTGTCGGCATAAATAGATTTCGTATTAAACTAGCTTGCAAAGGTACGAGCGTATTACTTAGCAAAATAGTAAAGCACTTTTCTCCACCTATAACTGTTACCGCCACTATCCCCTCCACCACCCTCAACATCAGATTATTTTATTACGTTAGCCATGGCTGATTTACCTATGGAAACGATGGCATGTGTTAGACGTGAAGTTATTAAACCTTTACTGGACAGCATGGTAGAGGGTCTTGATTTCGTGTTACGAGTTTTCTGAAATGCGTAGAATGCCCGAATTCCCGAGACAAGGCATATAGTCTTAAGGAAATAAGTCGAAGTGCTAGGTAGACGCACAGGTTAATGCAAGGGCCTGGGATATACGCCCTCGGACTCGCAGAGGTAGTCCACGAACAGAATCGTGGGACAGAGAGCGAGAGTAGTGAGGTAGGGGCACAGGTAGATTTACGCCCGTTAGCAGAACTACGAGATTCACCTGAGAGGGGTAATCGTTCTTTTTAGGTGTCACGGTATAAGTATGACTCGGAGGATAGCACAGAGGGGAATGTACCCCTAGAGGCCAAAACAACCGACCCACCCACCCAGCCATACTCTTCCTGATCCATTATTCCTATTGTATACCAAAAAGTGCATATTATAATGTCTCGAAGCTCACACCTGCGAGGTACGCAACCATTTTTGCCGATATACGATTGTTTCACAGCCTACGGAACGTGGTATTATTCCTCGTTTATTGTAGTATTTATTGGTGTAACTTTTGCGTGAAATGTTATGTAGAAATTTGTCATCGTTTTTTGAATTTGTCGTATCGGTACGTTTACACTATATTGTCAGACTGCTAAACACATTCTTCAATTAGAGTTTGATATAGGCCTAAAACATTTTATCGAACATATGAAATCAGTTTTCCGTCTTTTTGTTGGCTGTATGATGTGTGGAAGTGACAAAGGTTGTCAGGTCCACATCGGTGTTAAATGAGGATTATACGGTTATACAAGATTAATACGGATCAATATGATATATAACGGAGCACGAAGCTCGAGGTAGTTAAACGTCGTTTCGGTAATACGTATTCGGGAATACGGTATTCGGTAATGCGTGTCGGTACGCGCATATGTTGCATTGTAGCTATTGTACGTTACAGCATAAAAAGACGCAAGATTGAGAGTAATTGCAGCGATATCAAAATGTTTACTGCTAAATGTGTTGAAGTTCTGACTCGTATGGTGATCGAACTTTATCGTTACTTGTTTTGTAGAGTATAAATATAGTGCGAGGTTAATCGAAAGCTAAATTGGGGAGAAATAAATAAATAAATAAATAGATGTTGGTTACGATACGATCGGATCACTAAACGAAATGCTTTTGTAGCCTGCGTACCTATAGGGTCTTTTTCTTGTTTTTTTCGCTGTAAATCGTCCAGTGCGCTACACTATATTTTACATGGATTTTGACTTGCACGGGATATTTATTTGCAAGTAGCGCGTTATATATCGGTTCGGTTTCTAGCAGCACCTAGACGTGATGGTAGCAACGGCTTTCGTTCGAGACTGCCAGTCGGTTTTCGTTCATTATAGTGGAGCTGCGCTTGTTCTGCTACGTCACCAATCAATTGTCTCCCTGCGCACAATCTTTTCCCATTTACAGCAGCCAGGTGGCTGTAACGTGACGATGGGCCATCGTCTCTGTAGGAGGGGAGGAATGTAAGCGGGCGAAACCCCACACGCCAGGGAAAGTAATGGCAATGCGAGAACGCAACCGGCGTCAGGAGAATGTATGAAACAGGGACGGGCGAGTCAGCGGCGGGACGGAGGTCAAAGAGAGCCGTGACTCGAGATGGCGCCGACTAGCTGGAAGCACCGAACTAAACTCGTTTTGACGATCCCCCCCGATGTGCCGAATATCGTGACCGTACGTCGAGCGGTTAAGATTTGTGCCCAACTGTTGACGCCCGGACGGACGCACGGACGATCGGACGATCGGACGGACGATCAAGCGATTCTACAAGCTGCATCTGACTATGTCAGATGAGCTAAAAATGATTAGGTCTTCATGTGTGTGCACGAATTAAACACTACTAAACCGAATATTTTGGGCCCTAAGGTGAGTCCGTTTTGCAGAATGAACAAGACACATGTACAATACAATGATCTCAAACATATATACCTATACTAGTCAAGATCAAGATATTATTCTCAATTCAAAGACACACCTGCTCATGATATGTACAATCTCAAAGCAGATACAGCAGATAAAAATGTAAATGCTGGGTTTTACTGTGGGCATTAAGAATCTTTTATTTAATACAAGTGATATCACCTTCGCTGAATTTCATGCTCTTCTGTACTAGTATTGCTCTGAAGTCATCCACTGGAGACACTGTGCCTACCTTTATGCAAAAGTATAAATAGATCTAATATCAGCACATGACGTTTTCATCAACCTCCAATCAATTAGTGACCTTAATATAATGGAATGAATAGTTACAATAAGAGAGCAAAATGTTAAGACTTTTCAATTATTTTAGATTAGAATAAAATTTTAATAAAGTGTAAATGCAACTGGCAGTTCTAATTAAATTTAGGCCGTGGCTACGCGTCCGGTTACCGGACGTCCAGCTCCCAGACTACGCGTCCGGTCATACTGTAAGCGGGCGAAACCCCACACGCCAGGGAAAGTTATAGCAATGCGAGAACGCAACCGGTGTCAGGAGAATGTATGAAACAGGGACGGGCGAGTCAGCGGCGGGACGGAGGTCAAAGAGAGCCGTGACTCGAGATGGCGCCGACTAGCTGGAAGCCCGGTCATGAATCCCCGAATCCTTGCGCATTGTGACAGCCTAGACACTGACCAGATGATCTATGGATCCGAGCCAAAGGGAAATACGCACCCCCACCTTATTCGGTAGTGTAATATAGCAGTTGCAAGGCTCACCACACCTTATTTAGTATGGCCGGTTGGCCAGAGAAGGGAGCTATAACGAGAGGTGACGTAGGAAAGGGAACGCCGTATAAATAGTGGAGAGCAGCCGCTTCTCGAGGCTGCTGGTGCCAGCCACCCGCTGAGGAAGGTGTAGTGTGTAGTAACCGCTCTTGCTTTCGATAGTGCACGGAGACTTTATGTATTGTATTAGAGATTGAGTAAACACCAGTGAACATTACTCTTGTCTTGTCTTTATCTATCTCTAGTCTATTACAGAACCTTTACAACGGTAGTGCGAATGACGCGTCTACATTGTTTTTTGTAATTTTTGAAGCAATAGTAAATCCAGGAAAATCAGCGATTTGAAAGGGGACGTGGCCTAATCATGACATGGATTTGGGAATCTGTGCTGAGCTTTGTGATGGATGACCGGATGCGTAGCCACTGCGTTATTTACAACAAAATGTTCACATGTGAAAGTAACACAACATTTCATTGAGAAGTTGGCACAATGACCAATTTTATGTCTATGCAGTGGGACTACACCCACCTCCGTGATTGGCAGCCTGGACAGAGCTGCCATACCCCCAGTTAAATCATCACCAACACGTTGTTTCTTGGCGTCCGGTTCATTTTCAGACTTAAATCTGCAAAATGTTTAACACGTAATCTAAGCTATAATAGATAAATAATAAGTAATAGTAATGTAATTTTAAAATACATAATATTTACAAATTAATGTTTACATTTTTATTTATATAGTATGCAAATATTAACATTAATATTATATATTAGTTACATATTATTATTTTGTGTGAATTATATATAATCAAGAGCGTATTAAGAAGGTATTATGAGGTATTAAGATGCCTCTACGATGAGATAATAAACGGTGAAAATCTGGTATTTTCGCCAAAAACCGACTCGAGATACGTAGTGACTGCGACTGTCTCACGTTCTGGCGATAGCTTCGGGAAACCTCGCGTGTTTCCGTCATTCATTGACAATTAAATTTATTTTCCTTCTACTATCTTTTCTCGCATTTCCAGTCATTGACGCAGCCATTACTCCACAAAAACGTCTTGTTATTTATCTCCATGGTGATGACCCGCCCTTACGCTGGATGTAGTAATGCTGTAGTAATAACGTATCGAGTCAGCGCTACACAGCGGCGACTGGAAGCAACATACAGTACACAAAACGAAAGACAGTCGCAGTAAAACTGATCTCGAGTCGGTTTTCGGTGAAAATACCAGATTTTCACCGTTTATTATCTCATCGTAGAGGCATCGTAGGGACATGCGGTTTGTTTTATATTAACAAGGTAGGACAGCTGATCAATAATACTGCAAAGAATCGTCAAAATAAAACGGGGAAAGTTTATTAATTCGACTAATACTGCAACATGGTTTCAGCATTTCACCGTTGTACGCTCTCCTTCTTTATACGCTCTTGATATAATAAGTCCACTTAGTCCAGTAATAAATGAACCCGACCATTATAAATAGTAATAAAACTGATAGCCAAAATAGATCTAAGTGTACTCACTGATCTTGGAACACTGAAGCACCTGTCTCTACTTCTTTCTTCGTCTGCAGCTCTTCCAAAGGAAACAGATTTCGCATCCGTTTGACTGTAGATTCGCACCTGGCCTCTACCTCTTCACACGGCTGCAGGTACTTGGCTACGAGGGGTAATAGTTCAGGAAGAGGCTCATCAGGGTTTAACGCTCTGTGCTGCAAACACTATAAAACAGGATAATACAGCGATAAATATTGATCCACTAGATATAATACTGAATTGTTTAGCAGAAAAAATAATAAACAAAACAATCAGGAGTAAAATACTATACATTCACAATTTCACATTCATGTATTACTTTACTTATCACATTGTTGTTTCCTGCTTTCCCCATTACACGATCATTTGCTAGCTATAATTGCACCTGAATTCTACCCAGACAGCTAATCAGTGCAAAAATGTAGTAACACGTGTCATTATAATTCAGTATACAGTAATACTTATTTCACTGTCCTACAATATCAGCTATAATATTCGTGTGCAATCGAAAAGTATAAAGATATACATTAAAATTACCTGGTATAGTCTTTGAATGTATGGATTAAATGTTAGCTTAGGTTTCAATGCTTCATCTCTTTCTCCATCTTCATTTCTATAATGTACCTATAGTTAGTTATGAGGCCAGAAGACTAACCACCTAGCAGATTTTCCTTGATAGTAAGCCAATTACATCACAATAAATAAAGCCCATTTTAAACATCACAAATCACAAATAGCCATAATTGTATAAAATGTTTAAATACCCTTCATATACTTTCAATTTGTTACACCAAATATATCATCATTAATCCACCTTCAACTCTACTTGTATAATTACTGCCAAGAAAATAATTACTCATTACGAATTTAGTCATCCAGTTACCATATTTTCACAATGATTTTTCTATAGAGCTCCTCAATGATTTACCGACAATATAATAGATATATACTAACTCATTTGCATTGCTTAGATCCATAGTGGTGATCAGCTGGTCCATAACATCCAATTGTTCCCCTACAAGGTAATAACAAACATAATTACTTATTGTCAATGTGGTCGAATTTCAGTGGATCAGAAATACTAGGCAAAGACACATCAACCTACATTGTAGAGCTGTGGAAATAGTGGAGAATAGCGAATTATCCCAATATTTGCCTATCTGCGTGCGTATGTGCGTGCGTGCATGCGTGTGTGTACGTGCATGTGTGGGTGTGCATTTGAGTGAATAAAAGACTACACTGGTAAACTACCTCAATGAGAATATTTGAATACTTTAGCTAATATTCTATACTATCTATATTCTATAGATTCCACTTCTTATGAAAAACCATGTTGTGTTTAAATTTTATTCTTCTCTCACTGTCAAATAAAAATAACAAGACCCGCAGAGCGTCTGGGCTCATCTGAGGTCTGTTGCTACGGTTATAAACGTAACATTTAAGGCGTGCATAGTGACAACTTTGTTAGGCGCAGATATGCAGATATGCAGTTGCGTACACATCATTTCAGCAACCTTCTGCATTCTGCATACCTCCCAAATCCCATTGGTTGATACAAATCACGTGCCTGAAACTCCTGTTTTATGGTGCATTGTGACCCTAACCCTAACCCTATTAAAAAAAAATAATTAAATTGTTGTAAAAATTATTTGTTGTTATGAAATAGTTGTAAATAAATCATGTAAATATTTACCTTAATTGGAAAGAAATAGTTAAATGGATAAAGATAGAAAAATACAGAAAACAGGTAAATAATAAAAAATCTGATGAGATTCAATCCAAGGACCTTTGAGCCGTAATCCTGTGCTGTAGCCGTTGGGCTATCGAGGCATATTGGGTTTCCAGATTATGGATGTGCCATGAATATAAGAACACTGTGACATCATTGAGGCAGTTCAGGAATCCATGTTTAACCCTCCTCTTGAGGGTCAAAAGTTAAAGGGAGAGTTTACTCTGGGTTGTAGGGTTATTTTCAGCTAATTTAGGTTATAATTACGCTACATAAAAAGTTTCATGGTTCAATCACCATTAGAAATATTATTAAAAAATGTTTTAAAACTAACGACTACAGTTTGATTACAACGACGGTGGCGCCACTGAAAGCACACGATCTGATGAGCCGCGCAAAACCACTTTTTAGCCAAGGGCTACAGACCGAGGGTGTTTCTTATTTATTCATTTAAAAGCAAAAGGATTGTAATATCTTATAAACGACATATAGTTTCAGCTTTAATATGGATAAATTTGAACTAAAATGAATATCGTTCGGTTAAATAGCATTTAGGTATAAATATAATTGCACTTTTGTGATTAGCTCTCGGTCTGTAACCTGCAAAATAAATTGTCAAATACGCAACTTTTTCGGGGTGGCACCACGGTCGCGGGTGTCACGGCGCCGTTCAAATTTCGTAGCGTTGATGTGTAAATAATTATAAAAATTAAATTGGGTATCTGGTAACAAATACGTGTGGGTATAGACGATTTGTTATACAATAAGTACAGTTATATGCAGTAAAATCCTAGAGGCTACTGTCCCTTTAATCAGACACTTACTCTTCGCACATCAGTGGAAAGCACATTTCATGGTCCTTTCAATAAAGTTGTAAAAATTGTAGGTCAGTGCTGAAACAAAAAAGTTTTTCACTCTGTCCGTTAGGCCATGTCCTCAGAAAATGTCTGATATCTAACCTTTCCCCCACTGCCCTTTGACCTGTGACCTCCAATTTCGGCACAGTGATGGCTTTTCCTACCATGATGCTATACACAGACTATCACGAGCCTAGGTCGAGCCGTTTAGATTTGTGCCGCAATTCTGCATTTCCTCCCTATACCTTAAGTTAAGGAGGGAATGTTTCCCCTTCTTTTCACCTCTTGACCTTTGACCTTTGACCCCCAGCTTCGACATCCCAACTCGTTTTCGGATTACCCCCCTACGTCCCGTCTCGAATCCGTATGTCGAGCCGTTTAGATTTGTGACCAACTGTTGACGGACGCACGCACGGACGCACACACGCTCATGCGATTCTACAAGCTGCATCTGACTATGTCAGATGAGCTAAAAATACTTTACTAATACTGGCATACCTGTTGGGATGTATTTCTTGTTAGTATCTAACGATGCAAATGTAAAGCGACGAATATCCTCCATATAGGGCAAGAAGCTGAATAGCAAGCACTGTGAACAAAATGACGACATGAGTAAGCTGCAGTCACTATCAACAGTGGCTCCCTTAATGCTATATATAATTTATATTATCTTGCCATTAACAAAAATTCACAGATATGGAGCCTACTAACACAATTTCTCAAAATAAATGTACACATGAAATTAAAATACCAGAATCATTAACTGGTGGTATAATACATTATAAGTAGCCTGCTAATAAATTTCAAGAACCCCTGAAAACCTGGAGTGTTAATATTATTGTGTTAAACACTGATAAATCACATGATATATGGATCTTAAAAATTAATACTCAAGACGTAATGGAATTCAAAAATGATTCCATATGCGAACCATCTTGCTACATCGATGACTAGTTACACTTTATACATAATTACAATTAGGTTATGCATAGTTAAGCACATAGAATCACATATATAGTCCTCATAGACTATACCTTGGGAGGTGACACCGACGCATACCAGCAAGAAAATGAAAATTATTTGTGTGTATGCAAATCACGACAGAAAATTGTCGAATAAAAATACCTCGTAGTCAACTTTTATGTGTGGAGACATAAACCCCATTCTTGGTGCAGTACCAGCTCTGTAGGCATAGCGCACTATGGCAACTGAATCTGTTTCATGGAGTGCATGGATCAAAGCTGATAATGCAACAGCAGTCTCCTGCAATCATAGCTCAGTATCAGTTATTCCAGCACTCATATATATATATATATATACAACACAACTATATAATATATAAATATATAACACATGAACTTTAAAGGCATACTAGGCCCATTGATTATGCAATGTTGACGAATACTAGAGTAACTGGCACCTTGTGTAGTTAATAAGTACATAACCTTATAGCCAAATGCATATTGGTTTGTCCAATATCACTGCTGGTTATATTACAAGCAAGACTTGAAATCGGTTGTTGATATTCATTTACGTGCCGTAAATGTCATCCAGGAGTCAAGCGATGACGTAAACATATGTGCGGCCCGTATGTTTTGGACGCCAGATAAAATAGAGGAGTCAGCGGTGTAACCACGGCCACGGACTAAACATGGAAATGGAGTAAAACACACGTACTAATCACTGACGCACATGGACAGCCCTGACAAAAAGTTCCTTATCACGAGCGTCCGTGTTTACGAAATCACTGATGATAGCATTGCGTACGGCCGAGCATGAGTGCGAAAATGTCCGGTGCACTATAAATCTGTATCACACCCGCTTCGCCGGCAGCGGTTTGAAGCTGTAAACAACTGATTTCTTGGACTGCGGATTTCAATTATACATTTCTTAGTAACCAGCAGTGATATTGGACAAACTAATACGTGTTTGGAAGTAAGGTTATGTACTTATTAACTACGCAAGGTGCCAGTTACTCTGGCATTCATCAACATTGCATAATCAATGGGCCTAGTATGCCTTTAATTCATTGTCCAAGAAAGGACCTCCCAAGGAAAAACCACAAAATTCAATGAAATATATATCCTTATGGCAGATCCTTACCTGGCTCTGGGCAACGAACACATGCACACTATCACCTATGTAGTAATGTCTCTTTACCTATAACCACAAATTAAAGTACATTTAATCAAACAAGTTCACTTAACGTGCTACATGAATATTTAACAGATCAATAGATATGCAGTCTTGTTTTTAATTAACACAATAATACCCTTAACAATTAATTCACCTCATTGTGTTAGATTGATAGAGCTTTCAACTTATGTTAATCATGACCAATAAATCACATGATTTACATATGTGGATTATACAGCACCTACATCAGATGCACTTGCAAAGCCTAGCACTGAGAGACACTTTTCTTTAGCCTTGTATGATAGGAGATCCTTGTCAATTTTAGAAAATGGCACCAATGTCGATCCATACCTGTGACCTGCAAGTACCAGCCAATTAATCATGCATTGACCCCTTGTAACCAATGCTACTTTACATGTATATTTACTACATATTTAGATTTTTAGTTTAGATATAACTATCCCTAAACCTCAGGAGAATTCCTATTTCAGACAGCTCCTATTTCCCAAGCATGTGAAAATCTATTATGCTGATTAGAAGATCTTATATCTAATGTCTAATAACAATAATTTTTGTACATAATCTTAACAATGTACACATGCACTAACAACATGGACATAGCATGTGATGCACATATTATCAGCTATCCATCCAAATAAAAAACAAATGCCTCCACATTTCCTTCATTAATTTCTCTCACCCTTAACTTTATATAATGAAAGCATCTTACCCTCCACCGTATGATCCTTTTCTATTTCTGTCTGTTCATCATTGTTAAGATGATACTCCGTTTTCCTGTCAAGCTTTTGATCAGGATCCCTTGCATAACCAACCTGCCAACTTTTCTTTGGTTTGCTCTCCTTCACCTGTAGTGATCCACGGGAGCAAATGAAGATCAACATATACAACGTTCTGACTTTGTTTTCTTTCAACTCAACTAACAGTACAATTTTACCTGATTGTGCAAATGTTAGTGTAAATCATAATGGACAATAACAATGTCAGTAATCAACCTTACAGTCTTACAGATTTCAATTTTCTAATTAAAACTTCTAGTGTATGTTTAGCTCTGGTCAACAGTTAAATTGTATGAAAGCATCCATGTTTTACTTTAAATTTCTCAACTTCTAATTGATATTCTGGTTTACCTGTACAAAGCCAACATATTGCCTAAACAGTTTTGGCCACGAGCACTGCCATTATACTGAGCAGCTAAGTAAGTCATTTGAATACGTATTGCATTTCACTCTTTGCGACATTAACATTTTTATTGTGAAATTTTGCCAGCTGACGTGTGATAGAGGATTCAATTTAAAGGGATAGTAGACTCTAGGATTTTACTGCATACAACTGTACTTACTCAATACTGTATAACAAATCGTCTATACCCACACGTATTTGTTACCAGATACCTAATTTAATTGTTATAATTAATTACACATCAACGCTACGAAATTTGAACACCCACGACCGACACCCGCGACCGTGCTGCCACCCCGAAAAAGTTGCGTATTTGACAATTTATTTTGCACGTTACAGACCGAGGGCTAATCACAAAAGTGCAATTATATTCATACCTAAATGCTATTTAACCGAACGATATTCATTTTAGGGCAAATTTATCCATATTATAACTGAAACTATATGTCGTTTATAAGATATTACAATCCTTTTGCTTTTAAATGAATAAATAAGAAACACCCTCGGTCTGTAGCCCTTGGCTAAAAAGTGGTTTTGCGCGGCTCATCAGATCGTGTGCTTTCAGTGGCGCCACCGTCGTTGTAATCAAACTGTAGTCGTTAGTTTTAAAACATTTTTTTATAATATTTCTAATGGTGATTGAACCATGAAACTTTTTATGTAGCGTATTTTAACCTAAATTAACTGAAAATAACCCTAGAACCTAGAGTAAACGATCCCTTTAAGGTGTTATCAGAATGTAAGTACAAACACTCAAGTTTCATGAAATATAGATGTTGACCAGAAATAAACCTCTTTTAAGTAATCACACTTGGCTGTTTACATGGCTTTTTGTTGGCCATAGTAATACATAATAACATATGCAGTTGCAACATACACGGAGATATCCAACAATTGGAATTGGACAACTCTCGCTAATCTCTAGGTTGACTTTCCAGGGAGCTGGCCGAACCATTCGAGTTTGGAAAAAGCTGAGTGCCGGCAATGCTTGACTAAAATAATAGAATTGAACGAGTTTCAACTTTACAATCTCACGCATATGCATGTAATAGTAATCCAATACATATATTTAGAAAAAAATTGCTTATTGCTTTTACAAAATATATGACAAATGGTTTTAAATGGCTGCATTTAACAACATTTAAAGTTGCAGTCAAAGTAATCTCATTACATTTCATTAATACTCTTATGACCTATCAACCTATACCTGAAGGAATAACTTTCTCCATTCACCTCCTCTAGTAGTTGCCTCATGATTGTCTCGCCTTGTATCTGCTGTGAGCTTTTCGGCTTGCCATGAGGGAATGCTGAGGCACCAGGCACCTGCGGCAGATCTTCATCCCCACCACCATCATTACTGCCTTCACCCAAGTTGGGACCACTGCACATGTGAAAAAAATTGCAAACATGCATCAATAAAAACTTACTGAAATCTCTTTTGTATCAGAATATTTACTTCTTTAAATTTTGAAAAGGAGGATAAATATACATCATTTTCCACCTTCCTTGTGGCATGAGTGATGGGTTTAGAGCCAGTTTTTCTAAGATTCATGCAGTTTTGATACATGACCCCTTGCAATTCCACCCACAATTTTTATGGTGGTAGATATATGCCTAAACGGACAGAAATCACATTTTTCATCCATGAAACCCTTTGTGAAAATTTTTAGGGGCTCTCGAAGGGTGTGGGTACTAAAGGGCAAAAATGGAAAACATTAACCCTTTACATGCCAGTGTTCTGATGCATGCTCACCCTCTAAAATACCTCAAAAAATAGGTTATCGCAGTGCTGCCATCTGTAGGATCTCTGCACAAGTTATCATGATTATGACATCTCTTGTCAATTTCAGGAACCAGTCCTGTGATCATGATTGTCTTATTGACCACATACATGTATACATACATGTATACACACATACATACCAAATCCCTGACCAATCGGTTTTAATACATGGTAGCGAAGCGACCAGGCAATATAGGAGGTCTGATAAGTGGTATGTAATATTGACAAGTAAAGGGTTAATAAGGCAAAACGCCTCCTAGATATTAGTATCACAGATAGTAGAGATGCAGAGGAATACAATAAAACATGTTTCAGGTATTTCTGAAGAGGGCGCACTGAGCTACAGCTTTATAGATGTGGACAAAAATCACATTCTGGCTAGCAAAAGTGCCCCCTATACTATAGTGCGCCCAAATTAAGCCACGGCCATTTATGTAAACTTTGAAAGAGGAGGTCCTAATGTGTCCTAATATGTATAAATTAGCTAGGAGTAATTTGGGAGCAAGCTGTGGGAAGCCCTGAAATAAGACCCAAAAAGTTAAAAGTAATGATTTGAAGCACCACCTGGTGGCAGTAAGCCTCGAATATTTTGATGTTTTTGTAATCTCTGCCCCATACTTTCATGTAACACAAAATCAGAGAGGCGTAATGAGGGCGCACAGAGATATTGGAAGGCCAGAAGCTGATTTTCCATTTTCTTAAATTTTGTCCTCTAATACCCACATCCTTCGAGCCCCTACAAAATTTTCACAAATGGTTCCATGGATAAAAAATGTGATTTCTGTCCGTTTTGGCCACATATCCACCACCATAAAAGTTTTGGGTCGAATCCCAAGAGGTCATGTATCACACACTGCCTGAATCTTGAGAATAAAAAAGGTTTTTAACAATAAAATGGTGGACTATTGGTAAGAACACTTACATGACATTGAGCTCTACTTCAGCCTGCTTTATACCATGACCTATCGCATCCAGTTGATCTGTGCAGACATCACCTCCAAGAACCGAGAGTAGGATAACTCTCTTTGTTGCAAACTTCTTCCCACTGTGTAAATTAACAAACCAAAAACTCATTCAAATACCTATATAACTTTATAAGCAACTGATATTATTAAATAATTCATCACTACTACTAGCATAGTACTCGATCTCATTTGTATATTATATGTGTGTGTGCGTGCGTGCACGCGTGCGCGCACAATCTTTCATTTGTTCTCGTTTTATTCCCCTTTAAAACTAGGTGAAGTTAAAACAATAATTAGACTCCGAGTTAATAGCACACTTAAATTACCAAATTTGAACAAGTGCCGTCAAGATATTAAATATTTTGCACACATTTCAATCTAATTTCAAAAGATAATGATAGTACTGTACTGGCATAACTATGTAAAAATTGAAGTATACTATCAGCCACATGCACTCTCTTCCTGTTATTTCGAAGGTTGCATCTTCTGAATCAGAGCAACGTATAGGTAAACATGGCAAGACATGAAGGCATCATATACCATTAAACAGCGATTTTAGTGTAAACTTGTGATGGGCTTTATATTAAACTTTAAAGGCACTTACGCTGTTGATGTAACAAGCAAGTCCATGCACACGACCAATGCATCCAACCCTGTGTGTTACATTTGATGCATGAAGGAAGAAACATGACTGCAGCTTTTTTGTAGGCAGCAGATAACTCAAGCAAATGCTATTAGCCCACTCAACTAGTACAATAAATGCATTATAGAGAAGCCAAGCACATACTGATAGTAAATATTAGTATATATGAAATATAACTATATAGTCAATTACCTCATTGCAATCAAAATTATTGCACAAGGTATTCAATAACGTCTATGAAAAGTCTGGAAACATTTGACACTTATGTAGCCTCATTCCCATCATTCTAGGTCCATACTCTAACATATATATTTACTGACATGAAGTGTATATGCATTATTGTAATTACATACATGTGTAATGTCAGCATGCACTATATTTATAAACATGAAAACAAGAGCATTGCCCAGTAAAAATGTGGTGATGTGAGCACTACACAATAACTCCGCATATGGGTAGAATACACTCTACTATCCTACCCATTACTTATCTAACTAGACAGAGGGCACTCACGGAGAGTGCATACCTCCGCCAGCTTGTAACATGTATGTGTATAATAGCTGGCTCGCTGCTGGCTGCTGCTGACTGGACGCCCTAAGGCGAGCTGCTGCTGATTGGACGCCCTAAGGCGAGCTGCTGCTGACTCGACGCCCTAAGGCGAGCTGCTGATGAATCGATCGCGCGAACACTAGTGGCTACACACACACACGAACACACACACGAACACACACACGAGACCGATTACATTACCTCGGCGGAGGTAATAACATAGCAACTATAAAATTTATAGAAACAGTAAATCACTGATTATAGGATACAGTCAGCAGATGCATCGCTTTCAACCAGATCATTCTGCACATATTTCAGCAACGGCCAGTCTGGTAATCCTAACTTTCTTGCAATGGTAATATTTCCATACTGATCTCCATCGGCCAGCGGATTAGCAGTATTTGTTGTGCCAAATAGAACCAAGGCCACCTCATCTTTCAGCTCTGCAAACATCTAGAAGAACAGTTTTCAAGTAATGGAGGAGTCCAAGTAACAATAAAATAATGGTTTCCGTGGGAGGGACAGACAGGCAGGCCAACATTACACCAAGAACTTTATTCTTATGTCTACTCTCGTATATTATTATACTAATTATATACTAAGTTAGCTTTTCAGCAGGCCAAGTACAAATGGAACTGGTTGTATATATGCATATAAATAAGAGCCAATAATACCAAGCTAGGCAAGTCAAATGTTTTGGCATATCATGTCAAAATTATTTCACTGTTTGAGTTTTGAGTTAGTTTTGAGACATTTACTTTTCGCTGAAGAATCATCGTAATCGCATCAACGCAGGTTTCTAGGGAACCAGATTGATGCATTTCTCTGCCAACATCCAAGCAAATCACAATGGCTTCCTGTAAAATGAAGTTACATCAAATAATTCACTGCTAGAATTAAGCCAGGTTACAGTAACAAAAATTTCATGTTGTGATGTTTCAATGCAGTGCTCACACACACGCTTATCACACACAGCTCATCATCTCAATTTTGATCCGTTTCTGGTGCATGAAACTCAATAGAGAATTTTAAAAGCAGGTAGGAAACACAAATGTCGTCTATTTTGTGTGATTTACTCGTAACTAGGGTAAAGTAGTTTTGCGCCACATGTAGCTGAAGGACATATGTATTGCAATATATATATTAATGAGATATGTAATAAAACTCCTATTCAGGCTTTGTGAAAGTAAAAAAAGATAAATGCCCCATATAACCCCACTTGAGGCTCTAGGCAAGGGCCTACATCTACAAATTTTGCAATGGACCAGTTAATGATAGACAATTCTATTAGTAATTGACTACCACTGCCAGTAAATGTCCTAATGAAAATATTGTACATATATATGCACTTAAGTGCCTGTTTTAATCCTAATTAGGATTAAAACATGACATGTGCTGCTCTTCTCCCATCTCGAGAGTCGACTACATTATTAGCAATTATGACATTAAAGTTTTAATTATGTTAATTGTTATGCAGTTGTATTCTTCAAGGAAATACCGAGCCAAATCTTTCCATGGAGATTATCGCGATTAAACACAAATTGCATTTATTATAGGCCGTGGCTCCTCGACCGGTAACCGGTCGCCAATGTTCTGTGGCTAAATGACTGGTTAACAGGCTGGTCCAATCATTGAATCAACAGGGAGCTTCGCACGCAGCACAACAGTCGCTACGGCGGTGGTGCTGCCAAGTCAATTTGTTGTTTTATCCGAAAACTATCATGTTTTTAACTGATCATAAACTTTTTGTTATGCCATTAATTATTGTGTGCCAGTAATAAAACTAGTTTAATCAGTAAGTTAGCGGCGGTTTAATATAGTGATTTTAGTAGACTCCCTTCCCTTCCCTCCGCGAGATGTGTCAGGTCGAGGAGCCACAGCGTAGTATGTAGTATGTACAGGGTTCGACACTAACCCACGTCCGACCGACCTAGTCGGGTAAATGCTTGGTCCGGTCGCATACAACCAGAGTGCTAGTAGCCCGACTGGTCATGTTAGAATTGGTCATATATATTGCACTGAAAGGTCACCTCTGGCTAGACTGGTTGGCGGCCGCCCTGTTTGTCGCAGAGCGTGTACATTGTCTAGCAGAGCGTGAGGCCGGATACCAGTCTACCCTTCAGCAAAAACAATAACGTGGCTTGCTGCCAGCCGCAGTAGACGATCGATAAACCGTGCGCTCGTGTATGCCCGTGGTAGCAGGGTTCTCCCCAGGATGAAATTG